CAAAAAATATTCTATTTATTTACTCTTCCATCATGTGAATACGGTTTCAAGGCAAAAAGCAGGACACTACCAAAAAAAAAAAAACTTAGTGACTATAAATTTAACTTCTCTCTCCATTTCTGGGTAAATCTCAAGGTTGTTTAATTAGACATAGCAATAAGAAGACTTAGAAAATGGAAAATGTGGCAGCATGAAAAAATCACCCTGCTGCAGGCTGCAGCAATAGCACCTGCTTTCACAGGTAGTTCAGCTCTTAGGTAGCCAGGGATTCAAAGAATATCAGCATGGTGAAGTTTGTTGGTTAAAATTAAGGTTTAATCTTTAGAAACATTATAGTGTGTAAATTAATAGGAATCAAGCTAAAATTTTTTAGGTTGGATGTCTCTGCTTTCCAGCATCACCTAGTGTCATACTCCTCGTCCACTCTTCTAGCATGAATTTTCTTTCAGTGTTTCGTGCCTTGCTGCTACAGGGCTGCCTAAAGCACTCTCCTCCTCTGATATCTGATTAAGCCTAAGCTTTTGTGTGTTGCTTAAAATACTTGTGTGTGCTTATAGAGATGGGAAAAGAGTTACTAAGTTTGCAGAATAAGTGCTTTTTTTAATATTATTGTGGTAGTTAGAAGTGTCAAGCAAGTGATTTCCCCCCCGCAAAAAAGGGTTCAGGTGCTGCTGCTTCCTGCAAGAGCCTGAAATCCAAACAGCTGACATGGATGGAGGGGGAAGGAAAGGAGGAAGAAAGGGGAATTGCTCATCTCCGCAGGTGGGAGAAATGAAGCCCCAGGAGAGAAAGCTGAAGCTGGTTAAGCCCCAAACATTTCTTCTGTTCACCCCAAGTGGTCAATGGCAGCTTATTCATTTGGGGCTGGCAGCTGCGACACCCCCTTGCCCATGGATGGCACCAGTCCTGACCTTCCGGGGACCGCCCGGGCTTGCCGCCCTGCACCAACCGCTAGGCGTGCTTTTTAGCACTGCTGTGTTCACGCCTGATCTATTCCTGTGTCTAGTGTGAAATAGTAGTTCTCCTATGAAATTTAAAAAAAAAAAAAAACAAAACAGCCTGAATCAGGATACAAAACTTATTTTGTCAGCTAGAAATCTGGAAGAGAGAATTAAATTGAAACTCACTGAAACACCAAGCCTGGACATTTTATAGTCTAAGCTAATTTGCTTTTAATGGCTAATATTGTGCAACTATTTTAGGAATTTTTTTCGTTGTAGAAGCCTCAACAAAGCCAATTAACCGTCCTGCTTCCTTCAGTGCAAGCAGGTTGTAAATGTGGACACCAATAATAACTTAAGCATTTTTGCTACCCCTGCGCTCAGAGCCTGCAGGATGCAGGAAAAGCTATGAGCAACCCATGCTGAAATGCCAAATTTGTGAAGAGCAGCCCCGAAGACGGGATTTGAGGATAATTTTCAGCTCTGACATTCATGAAGCTGTGCAGGTTTAAAAGCTCAGGAAAATTCTGGTCTTGTAAACACACACACACAAAATCCATGAAACTTTTGGGTTGTTTTTTTTGTTTGCACCCCGAGTTGCGTAGCAACGTGGAAGTCAACATCCCCGTATATGCGTATGCACAAGTGACATAACCCTGAAGACGGCAGATGCTGCTTTGGAGAAAGCCCATTTCTGAAATGAAACATTAGCTATTTATAGGTCAGCACTGAACTGCTTTACTGTCCAGGTACTTGAGGGGGAAGCGTCCTGGAGGTGCTAGTGAGGACCATAGTGTAAAACGGGGCTGGAGCCCAACGGAGCCCCCTGGAAGGAGGGAGCTGGCTCTGATACGGAGCCGAGGCCAAGCCCTGCCTGGGACATCACGTCACGTTGACGTGGCTGGTCGCCGAAGCAGGACTGGCAACGTGTCACTTAACGCTTTTGTAATGGAAAAATAAATGCAGTCCTAATTCCCTCTATTTAAAAATAACTTCAAGTTAAGAGAACCACAGGAGGCAGTCGATATCATCCAGTTTTGATTTTTATTCTTCTCCAGTTCATTGACTTCTCAATTTATTCGTCACTGGGAACAATCTTTACTAGAGCAATTACTACTGAATCAATATAATGATAACTTTAGTTTACTTGCATGTAAAATTCATAAAAATATTGATAACTGTCTACATAATATGGTCAATATTAGATCTATTAGGGTGAGGCAACCAATCTCTAAAAGCAGCGCTTTAACTTCACAATTTCAGGACTGGGCATGCGTTACTAACAACAATTTTTGGACTTGAGGTTGAGGATCTACAGCCCTGTTTATAGTATAAATGACTGTAAGGAAAACCTAGTAATTAGCGTTAAATGGGCTCGCTGAACTTTGAAAAGCTCCAGGTATAAGGCAGGGTGATGGAATAACCAGGGTGGTTTTTTTCTCCCCATGCAATGGCTTTTATTTTGTTCCTGATATCTAAGAACTGGGAAAAAACTCTGTTCTCCTTCCTCCATTCCCAAAAATACGTGAGCAGTGGGTGTGGTGTTGTCATTTTAGAAGTGAGTTTGGGGGTCGGCTTGTTTTTATGACTGCTGACTTTGTGTGGGGGTGGTATATACTTGATGAATAGCAGTATTTTTGAAAAGAATTAGTTCCTTTTCTCTTTTCTCGTATGCTTCATTCTGTACACCAGCTTTTTCAATTAAAAATAAGCACTGGATGATCCTAGTGGCTAGAATTTAGGTTCAGGTTAATGCCTAAATTTTTCTGACACTTATCACTTCAAAATATTAAATTAGTTCTTGCAGAATTACATTTCAAATACTTGCTGGTTTTGACTGGATAAAAAATAATTTTTCGCTTTCATTTCCATTCCCTGTTATATTTGGAATAAATTCAAAAGTAGAAGAAAAAAAGGAAGGATTAAGTGTCTGGTATGGAGTTCAAAGAGGGTTTTCAGGAGCCGACACACCTGCAGAGCGTCGATGCTGTTCTGCAGGCCGGGAATCTGCCCTGCCTTTTTGGCCTTTCTCAGCCATTTATGAATACCAGAATGGGTCAGTGGGCAGGGTCAGGTCCTGATATATGTTTCCATGAACATGTGTCGGGTGGTCCATCTGCAGACCCAGGTAGTGAGAGGCTGCCTGTAACTGTGGTCCGCAACAGCAATGTCTGACCTTGAGAATAAAAGAAAATTATGCTTTTGGATGCTGTCAAGTAAATTGCTGATGTAGTAACCATAGGTTTTTCAGAATTAAGAAATTAAGGGTTTTATTAAAATAAAATTGCACTATAAAAAATACGCCTGCATTAAAACTGACAGTGCAATTTTTTTAAAACAGCTAATAAGCTTCCAAATGGGAAATGCAAGGTACGGGTTGCTGTGATGGAGGTGTGCAATTTGTATTTCTGGCAAGAGTGACTGTTTCTGGAGCCGAGATGGCTGCGAGTGCAGTGCCAGCATGGAGAACTGGAGCCGCAGGAGACCCTGGGCTTGCAGATCGCTGAGCTTCATCCCTCCTGGGTACTAATGCCGGCGGCGGCACGAGGAGGTGAGCGGGGACGTTTCCCCAGACCTGCTTTGTGCAAGGGCAAAGCAGCGTTGCAGAAGGTGAATACCTCTCCAGCGCCCCGGGAAGCCGCGCTGGCTGCGTGTCCCCTGGCAGCCACCGGCAGGGGGGGGGCCAGGCCTTGCCTTCAGCCACTGCTTCCTAAATTTTTGGGGTCTCTAAGTGCCTTTATCAGTGAGCTGGTATAGTAGCAAACTGTTATGGGGAAAACGAAATCTAACTTAATGAATGAACTTGTTACAGCAAGTAACAAATGGAGAAGCCAGTCTTGAGCCAAAAATAACAGCAGGTCACAGGCATGTATCAGAATTTATCTGTAATGCACAGAAATATTTGATTTCCCCCATGTTCCATCAAGTGGAACTTTTTGAAACCCATTTTTATATCATCAGAGACTTTTGCAGTGTCTGCCACTAGGTGCGAGAAGGTAGACTTTGACCTGGGCAAAGCTGGTCTTAGGGTAACCAAGAGAAAGAAAGGATACCTAAAATCCATAAAACACATGGCATGATGCAAAAGCGGTGAACTGCAGACCAGTGCAGAAAGGGGAAGGTGGAAAGCACGTTCGCACATAAGTAAAAGTGACGAAGGAGGAGACCATCCTTGGGGCTTCCCTGCTGGCGAGGGAGTTGGAATGAGCCACCATCTGCAACGCTGGGACCCAGAGGAAGGGTGAGGGAAGTGCTGAGAAAAGGGGCAGAAACTGGGGATGGTGCACACATCTGCAACACCGCTATTGCTGCTGGGACCTCTTCTGTATTGTGGTGCTTATTTCCTATATTTTCCTTTTTTGTAACAGTCAATAGGGAACTAATAGTAATTCTTTGACCAGACTGTGAATAATTTATCATTCGGTATCATCGGTGGCTGAAGTCCATGTCTACACCAGCTGATGTGGCCGTCCCCAGTCCTCACAGGCTCCTGTTTTCCCAGGGTAGCCAAGTGCGTGTTTGTTTTCCCCCTTGCTCACTCTTTATCTCAGTTAGGCAGAAAAGTAAATACTTATGAAGAAGAGATTCCAAAGAGCCATAAAAATAATTTTTTTGAGTGCCTAAAAAAAAACCATAAAATGGGTTCATATATCTGAAAAGAACATTCATACGTTGCTATGAATAATGGCATTAGAAGGAGGTGCGCTCATACGTTGCCTGACATCACTATTCCAATTGCTTTTACTGATAATTAATGTGTTAAGCATGCCTAAAGGAAGGGGCTCATGTGATTTACAACAGCATGCAAATTACGAGGAACAAAAAGCTGCATCCTGACTAAAATGGAGCCTTTATTTAAAAAGGGCCCATACTATTTTAGTGATGATGGGTTTTGTTTATTTCCTGTCTCATAAGTGCATTAATGAGGAAAACTAACTCCGCACCCACCCCAATTCCCAGCAGGATTGCAGCTAGTAAGAACAGTATACTGCTAAGTAGTGTTGAAAGATGTTTTATTGAGTGTGCTTATTTTCTTTATATATTTTATTTATATGAATTAAATACAGCTGGAAAAAATCAAAGAAATGGAAAACAAAACTATATCACAGGGAGGCCGCGCCCAAGTGGCTTGAGGTTGCAACCCATGTTTCTCATGCATGTGAGTCATTGGTTCTGCTAAACTGACCTGAAGGTCTTTGAGGTGCTGATATGCTATGGGTGAAAACTTGAAATCCCTGGGAGAAAGCCCTGGGAAATGCACAGAGATTTGACTGGAGAAGTTAGCCTAAGGGGTTTATTCTTCAGATGTGTCTTATCTTAATGTTATTTGAAGGGAAGCTCTAGTGTGACTCCAGTGGCAATCCTCCTGTCTCCCTGAGAGCAGCCAAGCATTGCACAGGGCTGTCAAGGATACTCACAGAGCAGAGAGCCTAAAACTGCAATTTTTATTAAAACATATTTAAAATTCACAGATGGTGCTGCGCTGTTTAGTTTCATGTGATCTCCAAGCAGGATCCAGAGGCAATACTACATGTGGATTTCCACGCTCTGTTAGCAAACGTGGTCACAGCCAACTGACTGCCAGCGATCCAGACGTGGGGAATATGGGAGAAATGTCAGACCCCTCTGAATTATGAAGGATCAAGGATCTTGCAACACGTCTGAGCCAGTGGCAAGTCTAATATGGGATTCCCTGGCCTGTTATAGGTAAGTGTAGCATTGAGTTTTCAGCTAGCATTACTGTTGGGGCAAAACATGTCCATTTTCAACTGTTGGGGTACTGCTTCATGATTTTCATCTATTGGTTTAGTGAGTGCTGGAGGTCCCTTCCCATGTAGTCATGGTTTTATGAATAATCGTCTGTCTCCTTTTTACCCTCTAGGTTGTCAATATCCTTTCATGATTCTGTGATTTTCTGAAATTCATAGCACAATGTGGAATTGCTGGGTTTCAAACAGTTAACACTTGCGAATAGTAGACAGCCATGTGTTGTATTTTGCTTTGGGAGGAATGTTTGCGCTGTCCAAATTTTAGCATCTTCTGGTGATTAATGAGAAACTTGAGGAAAAGTCACTATGAGTTTAATATAATGACAAAGTCCATGAAACTCTCCTCCACCCTGATAGGTCTGGTCTGGTCAGAAGCACTTCCACAACAGCTGCCTCTTCAAAGAAATCCCCCAGGAAGGAGACTGAGCTCCTGCATCATCACAGACTTCGAAACTCAGACACACGTTTTGTTAGATGGCTTACAAAAGTGGGTATGAAGGCTGAAAAAAATCCACCTCACATCTTGATTAATAGCTGAGCAAAGTTCCTAAGAGCCTATCTTGCAAAAGGAAAGAGATTTACTTTTTGGGACCTATCCAATTCATACTGTCATTCAACATATACTGCTATCATTACTGCATCTTAAAAAACAACAACAACAAGCAGAAAAACAACAAAAAACCCCACTGTGCGCTCTATCAAGTCCGTGAAAGTCCATCTAGTGACCGCACGACTTGTGCACTTTTTGGTTTGAAATAGCTCCATCTTTCTCCACCTTACAGGGCAAACACTCCTAATGACTTTTCAAAGCCCATCCGTCAAGTCTTGGCTCCCTCTGTGGATATGAAATACATCCTTCAGCTTATGGGTTCTCCCTTTTAAGCATTGGCATTTTGTGTTCTTCTCAATATCTTGTAAAAAGAGTGTTCTGGGTGGCAATAATATAAACCTTAGGAGCTAGCTGAGCAAGCCCTAATAGCAGTGCTGTGGTATGCAATATTTGTGAAGATAACACTGCTTTGAACATCCATCCAAAGATGTTTGGGGGGGGATTGTAATTTAAAAGATTCACTACCTATATTTTTCACTAGTCTTGGTCCCCTAAAATGAAAAGAAAGCTTTAATTCCTCAGATCTTTTGGCAGCACTTTCCTTCTCCACTGAAGGTGCAGCAATTTCAAGTTTTCTTGGGACTCTTCATTTCTTTGCAAAAAGATCAAAAGGTCAGGCAACTTCAGTTCAGTGAAGCTTCAAGTGAACTACATCATGCATAAAAATTTGCTATTTTCAAGCTAACAAACTTCTGCAAGGATATTTTGCTCACTTGAGCAGAAAATGGGCTATGTTAGCAGCTTTTCTGAGCAATGTCCTGATAATAGATGTGCGTAAGGTCCTCCGTACATCCCTGGTATGAAGACCAGCCTCATGTCTGTTCTCCATTTACTCAGCAGTTTCTTGGATCACAAACAGGGAAATGAGTATGTATACAGTCTCTGAGATGTTCACAGTGACTGTTTTTCTTCAAGATGTGTTGTGCATGTAAACAAGATTTGAGTATCTGATAAAGTCATAAAAACCTTTGAAAAAGGCCGGACAGATACAGTCCCTGATGGCTTCACGTACCAGCACGAGGACATGTAGAGTTTTAGGCCTTTCTCTCTCCCTCCTAACGCTATACGGGTTGTGTGGTTGAATGTATGGGGCCTGTGCACCTATAGGGGAACAGGTATGTGCAAAAGCATCCTGGATATTCTTATTAGCTGCCATATAAGGAACAGCGATTGCTGAGGTGGGGAAAAAAAGATTTAAGTAAAGTTTTCTTGCCTGTAAAGACTTTGAATAGGTGAATGCAAGTTTTCGATTCTAAGCAGTTCAGCCAGTGAAAAATTAGTTGCACCGACAGTAACCAGATCGTGAGGAAGTTCATAAACTTCCCCAGCCCTGCGAAGGTTGTCCCGGTGGCAACGCAACGTGCAACGCTCGGAGTTTTGTCAGGTCAGGGGGAGCACGGTCCACTTGTCCAGCGCCAGGTAGGACAGCAAAGGCATATCACTTCTTGAAAAAGCAGTTCATTTGGTAGTGTGGGGATTAACAGCTATGAGTGCAGATTAATTATGAATGTGACCTCCATAGCTCAGATGACTTTCTGAATGAAGACTGTAGCAGAAAAGTACCCCCTGTGCCTCCCGGAAAATAACTTGCTGATGACTTTTTTCTGTTGAGAAAAACAAATGTATTTTAAAAAAAAAATAGGTTAAGCTATTTTCCATATGCCCTCTGGATCTTTGCTTGAGGACTTAACCTTATGTGATTTGTACGCTGCTAGGAAGGCTGTGATACCATAGTGATGCAGAAGATGAGATGTGACACACAAAGGCACGATGAAGCTAAATTCATCTATTAGGGTACACAAACACTAATCACAAATAATATTTGGAATGAGACTGTGATCTGAATGCCAAAACCAGAATCTTTTTGCAAGTGTGGATTCACACAAAGCTCTCAAGGTTGGAAACGAGTCTTCATACCAGCACCAGCTCTGTGCCACTTGCAACGCAAATGCAGGAAATAAGAAGAAATGAAAACCAAAGGGCATGGCATTAAACATTGCTATGCACATAAAAATAAAAAAAAGAATTATCAGCTGAATAGAGAAAGAAAAACTTAATAAAATTTTCTGGTAACCTATCAGTTATGCTTTCTGTAGGTTAATCCTGATCAGACCTTTGATATAGCTAAGGATGGAACCCAGAGATGCTTTGCCGTTAGCTTTAAGGGTGTAGAGCCTTAAATATAGGTGAAATAGCAGAGACAGAGTGGTGTGCCATGGTTATCGGCTGACTGAAAGGTACGGCAGGGCCTCCCGCTGCCTTAGTGGGAACCGCAGAAGAGACAGCAGAGGTGTGTTGGTGACACCTCAATGCATTTTTTTCTTGTTATGAATAAGAGATGATTCACGCTAGGAGAATCTCCAAAGAGCTGGAGGTGTGGGTAACCACCAAAGGGCTGGGATGCTCATTCAGGCCTGTGTGTATGGCTCCGGCCCGGGAAGGCAGATAGGGCTTCCAAGCGCTCAACATGCCTCACCGCTTCTGGAGTGCAAAATGCAGGAATTTGGGGAACGTGGAGTTCACAGGGAGCCTGCAGGGCATCAGCATATTGGGCCTTTGCTACTGAACCGTTATCTGCAGTGGCTTTCAGCAAGCAGCTGCGAGGTGCTCAGCATGCACCAGCTTGCCGGTGTCTATATGAAGTGGTCCTCGCCATTGGTTTGAAAACGCAAAACTGAGCACAGAAGAAGAAAAAAATAATAATAAAATAAAAGAAAAAGCATTGAGCAGAAGGGGAAGGGAGCCTGACTAGAGAAAGGGGCGTAGCGACATGGGAGACACTAACATAAAATATCTGTTTTACCTTTTGATATGCAAGTTCAGGTCTATTAAGTTTTCTCTCTCCTCAGAGCTGTTGTTTAAGTGTGTCATTGCAACAAAATGCCATGCTATCGCAAGATAACACGTGCAATTTGCTTAGTGAATAGCAACCTTATCTCATTTGATTAAACCCCCAATAGACAGCACAATCTATGTATGTATGTGTTTAGGCAAGGCCCATGAATTTCAAGCCATATCATTTCTCGAATCACATATCCAATTATTGCAAAGTGGTGAGTCCTTGGAAACTGATGTCCAGCCAACACTAATGAAAAATGTGTAGTATGTGTAGCAAATATTACAGAAATGAACGCATTACTCCCAAAATCTGAAGAGTTACTCCCTCAGGTATGCCTTTTGTACTTTGACTGCCTTAATTAAATGGCATCTAAGCGTGGACTTTGCTTTCTAATAAAGTATTTTTTTAAGGAAACAGTCCCACTATAACCCCTTTTCTGGAGACATCACTTCTTTGAATTAATAACCTATTCTTCTGGCCACATCTGGGGTGGAAGAGTCTCCTATTTGTCGGTAATTAGAGCAACTTCTTAAGATTAACATTACACGCATGTAAGCAAAATGAGGTGGTGCAATAAACTACATTGAAAGTTGCACTAAATTATTCACTGTGATGCCTAGTGTACAGCTGAGCTGAGCAGACATTATGTCGTTAGGATCTTCCCCAAGGTTTTACTGAGATTAGTTAAAAGCTGAGAAGAAAAGATGGAGACAGCTGTGAATTGGCAGCACCCTGCAGTTCCCTCTGCTTCAACAGGAGAGGAAGAAATGGGAAGAAAAAAAATACGAACAGCTTTAAAAAGGACCCTCCATCCAAAGTAACATGTTCCTGCGTAAGAGTTTCGCTATGAGTTATTAATGGTGAAATGGCATCAGAGAGGAACCTGCTCTTGGCAGTGCTGGGGAGGAGCTGAAGTGCCCAGGAGGAGAGTGGTTGCGGAAGGAGCTGTGGTGAGGAGGGACCCAAACAATCTCTGCAATCTCCTCATTAAGATCTGCAGAAATTCAGAGATTGAAATGTCTAAATGAAGCTATCTACACCCACCTCCAAAGGAGGACAGCCTTGGCAATGCTGACTGAAGTTCCTGGGTTGATTGAAGCTCCTGGAGGTGAAGTTGCAGGACCAGCTCTGCCAGCAGGAGCCATCAGCCGTGCAAACATGTCCTCCACCGTGCTGGTGTCTGAAGCTCTGCAAAGAAAAAATGGCCCATTTCCTGCTAAATACCCTGAGGTATCCCTTTTCTATTAAAAATCCTCTTCCATTTTATTCTTCTCCCATTTGCCTTCTTTAAACTACTAATAGACCAAAAAATATATTCTGTGACTGTGAAGCCCTGAAAAAACTCACTGTTCTTATATGTAAGAAGAACAACTGCTAGTAGCAAGGCACTAAAGATAAGACTAAGTTGGAAAGGGAAATGTTGCACTTGTTGCAGAAGAAATAATCTTTACTAATGTGTCTTCCCGCCATGCGCTAACTCCCAGCTGTTTCTGCTGCTGGAGAGAGAACGGCCGTGGAAGGACATGCACCACTGCGTGCTCATGCTGCGTGCTCATTGCTGGAGCCACCTAAAGGACGCGGCACGTACTATTTGCTACACCTAGTTCAAGGTAGACTACTACAACGTGCAAAATAACCAAGAAGTAGATTTCATCTCATTGCTCACTTGATCTTCTGTTTTTCACAAGTATCTATTGGTCTCTTGCTGCCCTCACGTTTTTTACCACTTTTAATTCTTCCCTTAGCTTTACCCAGTCCTCTGGGATTTTTCAGTTTGGCAAACTTTAACGTTTTACCATAAACTGAAGCTACTTACCAAGAGGACTTTTCTTCCAGGTACCCTCAGATCTAATTCCTAATTGAGTAGCATAAATAAATGCAAAAAATATCCTTAAACAGAAAGAATTTTTCTATTTCCTGTCATCAGGCCTGCAAGGATTTGTCAGAAGTGCCCGGAGGTATGAAGTGAAAATAAGCTTATTTTTTTGTTTGGTGCCCTGGAGCTGATGCATCTTCCTCACTTGCTCAGGAAGGTATTTCTGCAATGGGATCCAAGTTACTACCGTGTCGATAAGCTGTGAAGGCTTAGTATGAAACATACCTTCAGCACGAGTATGGTACGCATGTCCCAGTGGGTGGGGGAAGGTCCCTTGAGCATGTTCTTCATGTTACCCCAGATAGTGCTGTAGCTGGCAAGGGGCAATGCTCACATGGAAGCCAACAGTCCTAACACCAATGCAGCACCGGGTCGTTAACTGCCTTGTACAAAGCTGTACTGTAGCATTTGTATTGGGCAACAGGCTTTGACAAGAACCCGTTATTGATTAGTGATATAATATGGAAACAGAGCATTGCGATTGAGAGCAATACACTGAAGCGCTCAGAGTTATCTTGGTTTGGAAAAATATTGCCATATTGAAGGCAAACGAGAAGATCATGATATGAAAACCCTAGCAAAGGGATTGACACTTTCTATAGTTGGCCACGCAATAGATTAAAACGAAGGCTTTGATTTTGTTTGGTTGAGTTAGGTTAAGCAGCACAGGTCAGCATATGTGAATGTATTTGTTGTACTGTCGGTAGTAACTCTGTGAGAGCCCACCATGGGGATGTGCTTGTCTTCAGTGGGAGATTCGGTACTATTGTGTGCAACCTGGTAAGGCCAACCCCTTTAACCCTCTATAAAAAAAACAGGTGTTTATGATTAGCAAACTTCCATTTCTAATTTTTAAGATTTCAAAATGTGGTAATTTGTGCTAAATAATGTTGCTGTCTTTGTGATTTCTGTCCTGAATTTAGAAATTAATTACAAATGAGTTCATTGGAAATTAATTATGATCAATCTATTTAGTAGGAAAAAGAGCCAGGCAGGTTGTTTGATAAAACAGAAACATTTCAAAATATATGAACAGTACCAAAAAATGAGTATTTTTTTCAGGACTTTTACAAATTGATTCCTTCCATATTTTCTATTTTTAACTATGAATCAAAACTTCAAGCTTGTTGGGAAATATAATACATCTTTATATCCCCAAAGCTTTTAAATTATTCACTGTCCTTAGTGTTCTCATTCTGACAGGAGATTATCCCTTTTAATTGGAAATTTTCTATTATTTGCATCTGAAATGTTTGAAAGTACAAGCGTAGGCTCAGATCCTACAGACAGCAGAAATGATAGCAAGAGGTTGCAAGGAAGCTTATAATTGCAAGCACGTTAACCCAGTCAGTTGCATTAATCCTGCTCAAAGCATAACACAGAGTAACAAAAGTCCCATTTTCATCCTACTGATTCCCCCCACCCCTGCCTTTTTCAGTGCCATCCCTCCATTCCCTTTTTGCCTTGTAATCAAGGTGCACGGTCAGGCGAGCCAGGCCTGGGAGACGGCATCATCTCCCCACCGGGGGAGAAATGCCCCCTGTGTTGCCAATGGAAGAGCCCTCGTCCCCTTCGTTTGAGGGTAACGTTAACTCTCACGTGATCATCTACTGCAAACCACAACGCTTTCAGGCTTGATGTGCTCTGAGAAACTTTTCCTCCTCCAAGTGCAGCCCATGCTCATTATAACAAAAAATGTGATTTTATAAAATCGGGCAGTGTGAAATGCACGCTGTGTTTCATGTTCAGCCCCCCACGTAATCCAGGCTGGGCTGCCACGGGGTCCTGGCCTCCTTCGTATTTACCTTTGCTTCAGTCTCTCCATCCTCTCCAAACTTTAACAGTGGTAATTTTATAACTCCTTCCAGGTTATTGATAAAAATGTTCAAAATCATTTCAAATCATTGATTTAAGTCATTAGATCCCAGGCTTTCATTTCTGGCCTTTTCTAGATGTTACTTCCTACTTCTAAAGACTTCCTTAAAGACTGTTTAAAGATTTGGGGTTTCTTTCCCCCTGCCCCCAGCTAATCATTTGTGCGTTTCAGTCAGTTGGATGCTCAGAGAAGTGTGAGAAAGATGGAAAAAAAAAAAACAAAAAACCTTCAGCTGCAAAATGGCTCATTGACCATAATTTTCCCTTGCTCAGGAGGTACTAAGAAAGGTCAAGCTGCCTCACACAGGTCGCTGTGCTGGGGTGGCGCAGTGATCAGCTGGTCTTACTCTGTCTGTAGAGTTACATTTTTCTAATATTCACTACTTCGTGGAGAACTGGACTTGAATAATTTCTATTTCGAATATGTCAGAAGAACAGTTACTCTAGAGGATTAAGTGACATCTCATCATCAAAGAAGCGATAACTACATCCGTCAGAGATGTGACACTACCATTTAGGAATTCCCTCGCTTTCTCTAAATGATGTAAATTAGATACATCTAACGTTGTCTATTATGAAAAACTTAAGGAAGATGCAAACTCTGCACCCGAATAGGAGAAATTCAGCGCATGAGTGATTTTAACTGTTAGGGGCGTAGGCGGGGAGAAGAGTCCTTTAAACTGGTCAGTTGAGCTAAACTTATTTAGATCAATTTTATAGCCTGGAAATGATAAAGGAAGCTGTTCTTCCCACTGCCAGATATTGTACAGTTATTGCATTGTAACTTTAGCTTTTAAGTCTTCCAGTCATAAACTTTTGCTTATAGTTTTTAAGTATATCTGCATCTTAGACTACTATCTGGAAAGTAGTAAAATATAAAATATGTTGGAAGTTTTCTAAAATACTTGGTTTCTGCTAAGTTCAAAACAGTTTCATACCTACCACCTATACTTCAATTGCATAATTGTCCTAAAAATGACAAAGAAATTTTCTAAAAAAAAAATGAACTTTTTAGGTGAGTGAGTCTACATATCTCAGAGACATCAGAATTTCTCTCTAGCAGTACTAAGATTGCATCATGGTCCCTGTTGAGATAAGGGAGATACGTTCTTGGTTTTAAGGAGAATTTAATATTTTTTTTAGGCTCTACATCTTGTTTGTGTATGGGAGGAGGAGGAGGAGGAGGAGGGGACTGCAGGAGAAGTAAGCCCATGATTCATTGCAGATCAGATCAACTGAAAGGGAATGTCTTCTACTTGTGAGCAAACGGGAACTTCCTCTGACTATGTCTTTGGTTAAAAAATGTACTGAATTGGTTTGACTAAGAAGTTTCTTTAGTTTGATTTGGTGATTCAGGCTGGCTCGCTCCAGGCTTCCAGTTAACAGCTGCACTATTGGTCTTAGCATGAAGTTTCCGCGCAGGCAGTCCGCTGTGTTTCAAAATATATTCTGAACACATTCCTAAAACTATGCTAAAGTTGATTGCTTCTTCAAATATCCACAAGGAGAGTCACTGACTAGAGCATGGAATTGGATGTACATAGCATGGGACTTTATTAAAATTAGAGAAGATTTTGATTTGAGCAAATATTCCACTTGAATTTTCAAATATTGTCTAAGTTCTGGTGAGGACAATAGCATATTTAGAAAACTTATCTAATTATATCTCAAATCTCTGTCTGCAGAATGCTGGAATCACATTCTCCAAGGGGGACAGACCTGAGAACAAGTGAGAACAAGAGGTTTTTGGGTGTGGGTTTTTTTTTTTTTTTTTTTGCTAATTAGCCAAAAAGTTCAGCTGTCTGCTCTCCCTTGCTTTTGTCTCTTCTGTGCAGACTAAGGGCTTTGGCTGTTCTGTAAGAACTTCTGCCTTGGAGAAGTAATCTCTGGGAGACAAGGATTTAATCTCATTTAGGGTAGGCGCCACCAAAACCACACCATAGTACATGAAATCCAGATTTTGATTTTCCTTTTTATCCACTTTTTTAATCTATTGCTCTCAGCTGAGTTATAGGAGCCTTGTAATTCTTGCATTTAGAAATTTAGGATCTTCTTGAGGAGGTTTTGCTGCAATACCTTGCAAGCAAGCATATCCTGCCACAGCAAAACATCTGCTTGCACAGGGGGAGTTAAACATAGTTTGACAGCTCTGAAATATCCCCACTCCTCCTGTCCTTGCCTCTTTAGCCTGCTAAGAGCCATTGATGACTTTTAGCTGCAATGCTAACCATATTTTAAATTTCGTCCTTTGTTTTAGTCCATGAAAGTTTGTGTTTAATTATTGAAAATTAAGCTCGTGTTTTAAGAGAAGAATTCTTCCTCAAAATCCCTCAAATTGATGGAAACTTTAAGACTGATCCCTGGGTAAGGAAAATTGCTCATACAAATTCTTCAGAGGATGCACATCTCTGACCGGTGCTTCAGCTGCAACCTCGTCCGCGCCAACTTGGCACAGACATTGAGAACTTTAAAACAAATATGTTCAATAAGAAATGGCTTTGCAGTGATATTTCTACCAGCTCCTTCTCAAAGCTTTTATTTTTTTTTTCTTCCATACAGGACCCAGAAAGCTCACCTAGTTATCCACGCTCTGAACCTCTTGAGCTGAAAATTTCATGAGCACAGCCTGCCTCGCGATTTTCTTCTATTTCATGCTTTCTCTCTGGATGGTAAATTGCTGTGAGAACAGCCTCTGTTGTTGATTTTGGGAACTGGCTCCCCACCCCTTTCTGGACCGCATTTGAAAGTGTCTCTGTGCATGGGGGAGGCTAACGGGTGGTGTGGAGGATGGCTGGCTGAAATGATTTTGAACCTTAAATGATTGGTTTTGAGCCAACGACACCAGGCGATGCAATTGCTCTGTCTGCCCGTCCGTGGCCGCGGACGGGTCCATGCGCTGCTCCTGCCTGGCCCTGACGGCGTAAGCCTTTGCTGCCGCAGGACAAGCGTGCCCTCCTTTACAAGTGCTAGACTTTAACTGAGATGAAAACATCGCTCATCTCAAGTCGTGACTTCATGCACTTTCTAACGCCAACGCAAGACGATAAAGGTCCTTGTAGGACCAACGCGTCCCTTGTATGCAAGGGAGTGGAATGCACCTGGGCTTCCAGACGGCAAAAATCAGCAAGGTTTCATCAGCAAAGACGTAATTCACTGCGGTTCTTGTTGTGTTTGCTGAAAAAAGGCATTCAGAAGCGTGAACTTCCCGATGCGCTCGGCTACATCCGAGACGGGCAGTTTCTGCGGCACAGTCTCGGTGGTGTTCACCATTGGCCTTGTCGTGCTGTTCCCTGTGGTCCAGCACCCGCTAAAGAAAGCCTCAACTCCACCATCGCCCAGGGGCTGGAGGTGCCAGATACTCCAACGAAGTTCACTGAAACCCAAGTGAAAGCGTTCGTTTTGGGGAATGCTGTTTAGATTATTTAATTATGCCTGCAAGGCTGAGCCTCTCTGTCTCGGCGGTCTGACCCGACAGACCATCGGACTCGCTCGACGTGTGACAAGCGGTGTTGAAATGAAGTTTGATCTTATGATTTATTTAGGTCACGGCGTGGCTTAATTAAGAACGACATTATGCTGATTCGGAGAGGAGCTCTGAAGGACTCCTTCACTTTGCTTAGATGTTTGAAATTCAGAGCCGTCTCCAGGGCCCTGCAGCTATAACGAGTTATTCCTTCTGGCGTACCAATAACAACATCGAACGGGGAAGGGCAGGGTGGGAGAAACGGAGCCAAACAGGAAAAGATGTCCTAATTCTTGCCGCGGATGTGTGTCTCTAAC